GTAATTAAAGATGTTTGACGTTCAGATTTTACTGTTTTGAGTAGTGGTATTTCTTTTTGTAGTTTACAAAAGCAATTTGGGGAGGATATTATTTAAAATAATTAACTTTTTATATAGGTACATTGTTGCCAAAGTTGCTATGAGTCTTAAGACCTTTTGGAGAGACTACAAAGTTCTTCTTGTTATGATACCTTCTATCGGACTGATTCACATAGGGTGGAAGAGCATTCAGAACAATCCAGTTTTCCAAACTGCTAATGCTAACAAGGACAGTATTCCAGAACCTGGAATTGTGACACATATGATTGCACAGAAGAACCAAAACCAAGTCAAATAGCAATCATGCAATGTTAGGTAAGTGATTTAGCCATAGCAACTAAAAGAATATGTACTAATGAGAAACTTTCGCTTTTTAAAAAAGAGAAGAGAGAGTGTGTAAAGAAAAAACTTGGGTAAATCATCTGTTTTTAATTGAAGCACTGGCAGATTTTTATATAATCTTTTTTTGTGTGCTATACAACTGTGTGTGTGTGAAAATGGAGAGTTAGAGAGGTTTGAATAGTATAGTGAGTCAGGCATAGCTGCAGTTTCATTTTTTAAGATCTTAAGCCTGTTTTTCCAGTCAACCAAACCACATAGGCTACTATTCATCTAGGATCATTTTGTTATTCATTAGCACTTTTGAAAAAGTGATGCCATAAAGGCAGATTGGAAATCATAGAGAGAAGAATTGCAAGAGAGTAACTACTATACACCACAATTTCAGGGAGATTTAAATCAAATCAACAAGAATTTATTAGGCATTTACTGTGTGCCAGGTGGGGCAACTAGGTAGTACAGTGAATAGAGTACCAGACCTGGAGTCAGGAAGACTCATCTTCCTGAGCTTAAATTTGGCCTCAGACGTTTGCTAGCTTTGTGACCCTGGACAAGTCGCTTCACTGTGTTTTGTCACAGCTTCTTCATCTGTAAAGTGAGCTGTAAAGAAGGAAATGGCAAGTCTCTGTAGTATTTCTGCCAAGAAAATCCAAAATGAGGTCACAAAGAATTGGACAAGACTGAAAAATGACTGAATAACAATGTGCTAGGCACTGTGCTAAGCACTGGGGATATAACCCTCCTCCCCCTCTTCTCTGCCCTCCCCACACAAATAGTCCCTACTCTCAGCAAATAGCTATGTAAAAACAAGATATACAGAAGATAAATTGGAGATAATCCGAGGGAAGGTGTTGGCATTAAGGAGAACTAGGAAGCTTTTTTGCAGAAGGTGAGATTTAGCTGAGATTTGAAGGAATTGAAGAGGCAGGGGTGAGGAGAGAGAAAATTCCAAGCATGAAATGAAAATGCCTTGCCTTGTCTGAGGAACAGCAAAGAGGCCAGTGTCGCTGGATCACTGAGATCTGCTCCCATGGAGGGGAGTAAAGTGTAAGAACACAAAGAAGGGTGGAAAAATGCCAGGTTATAAGGGCTTTGAAAGCCAAAGAGAGGATTTTATATTTGATCCTGCAGGTAATAGGAGCCACTAAAGTTTATTGAATAGGTGTGTGATGTGGACAGACTTGTAGTTTAGGATCACTTTGATAGCTAAGTGGAGGATGGACTGGAGTGGGAGAAACTTGTAGCAGGTAGGCCAGTAGCAGGCTATTGCAGTAGTTGGCACATGAGGTGAGGAGGGCCTGCATCAGGGTGATGGCAGTTTCAAAGGAGTTCAGAAAGTGTTGTATACAAGAGAGAATTCAGAGGTAGAATAGACAGGAGTTGACAACAGATAGGACATGGAGGATGAGAGAAAATAAGAGTGGTCTGTTACCATTGTTCTGAGCCCAGCTGACTGGGCGGGTGGTGTTACCCTCCATGGTAATAAGGGTATTCAGAAGAGACAAGTATTTGGGGAAAAGGTAATGAGTCCAGTTTTAGACATGTTGAATTTAAGATGTCTCTAGGACAGCCATTTGAAATGTTGGATAGGCAGTTTGAGATATGAAACTGGAGATAAAGAGGGAAATTCTTTAAAGAACTCAGAATTCCGTTTTGAAACAAGAATTACTACTGGATTTTAAAATTTTATTTGGACAACTAAAATTTCCAAGTCAGTCCCTAACTTTCCTATCAGCCAGATTCCTGAGTTGAAAGTGGGTAGGATAATACCAAGAGGCTTTGTGTTATACTGAGGAGCAGCATAGTATAGTAGAAAGGGTACATATTTTGTAATTAGAAGTTGTTTTTCAGTCATGACCCCATTTAGAGTTTTCTTGGCAAAAATACTGGAATGGTTTGCCATTTCCTTCTCCAGTTTTATGTTATAGGTGAGGAACTGAGGCAAATGGAGTTAGGTAACATGCCCAGGGTCAGACAGCTACTAAGTGTCTGAAGCTGGATTTGAACTCAGGAAGATGGGTTTTCCTGACTCCAGGCCAGATACACTTATCTGCTGTGCCATCTAGCTGCCCTAAAGATATAGGTTCAGATTTCTTTATATAATGGCGCCGGTAGTACTTGCCCACTATCCATTTCACAGGGTTGTTGTGGGGAATATGTTCTGTAATACCATAAGTTGCCATGTAAAAGTTAGTTTTCCTAATCATTATGTTAAGTTCAGCAAGCATGCCTCAAGTGCTTGCTATGTACAGAGCACTGTGTCAAGCAGTGGGGATACAGAGATAAGAAAACTGCCCTCGAGCAGTTTCCTTCCTACCATTGGGATGCAACATACATACATGGATAAGTAAATACCAGTGTTTTCAAAAGGGAGAAAGCATTAACAATTATGTATATCAGGAAAGGCTTCATTTAGAAATTGGCACTTGAGCTGTATTTTATAAGAAGCTTAGGGATTCCCAGGGATGTTAAGTCAAATAAGTGTATTCTGTACTTGGGGGGCCACATGTGCAAAGGCAGAGGTGAGGGTTGGAATGTCATTCAAGGAGCAGCCAACAATCCAGTTTTATGAGAATGGAAAGTATGTGAATAATGATGTAACCAGAAAGGGAGGTGAAAGCCAGGTTGTAAAAGGCTATAGATACCAGGCTAAGGATTTTTCATCTTATTCTAGAAGCAGTCAGGGACTCTTGAGTAAAAGAATACTATGATTAGATATTTGGTTTAGGAATATCAGTTTGGTAGCTGTGAGGAGAATGGTTTGGAGAGGGAGAAACTGAAAGCAGAGAGACTAGTTATGAAGCTGTTGCAATAATAAGAGAGAGAATATGAATGCTTGAAGTAGAGTGGAAATATGTGAGTAGAGAGAATGATAAATGTGAAAGATATTGTGGAGTAGAATCAATTAAACTTAGCGACTTGTAGGATATGGAGAGTGAGAAAGAAGGAAAAGTCAGGGATGGGTTCAAGATTGGCAAACATTATTGCCTGAAAGAATGGCAGTGCCCTCAATAAAGAGAAGTTTTTAGAAGTGTTATGACACTGTGATTTTCTTGTTGGACATGTTGTATTTGAGATGCCAACAGTGCATCTAGATAGAAATCTCAAATTTCGGGACTGAAGTTCAGGAGATTAGAAATGAATATGTAGATGTAGGATTTATCTGTTCTTAAATGATCTCAGAAGCCATGGGAGCTGGCAAGATAACTAAAAGAGAGGGAGTAGAAAGAGAAGAGAAGGCCCATTTCAGAACCAAAATTTCAAGTAAATATTTTCTTTTGATTTTACCAAAGTCAAAACAATTATGACAGTTCCTAAACATACCATAGAGATATGCAATTTGTGCTCAGAAGAGCTAGATTCTGCTATCAGGTAAACAGGATTTTCCCTCTGATTACAAACAGTCCTTGAAAGAAAAGACTATATACTTCTTTTAACTTACTTTGCCCCATTGATTTCTGTAATAGTGACTGTATCTTCAGATCTTCTCTTTACTCTAATTTCTGCTTATCCCCAAAATTCCTGCCACTGGCTTTGTTGCACTTAGACATAATTCACTATTTCCTTTATAGAGTCACAAGGTTAATCCATTTCCTAAAATAACTAGAAACTATAAAATGGCAGGTCCATTGTAGGACCAAGCTTTTTCATTTCAAACTATCAGATAGGCTTATTCTTCTCATATAGTACTATATTAAAAGGAATTTCATTCCCCATAATATATAATTTACTACTATAGTTAATAAAATCGTACTTTGTTTCAGCTTGTTCATTTATTTGGCATTTCACAAAGTTTCGTTTGTAAGATCAGAGAATCTGAGATCAAAGATCAAGTCAGATCCTGTGTTCACTCTCTGCCACCTAGCACATTATTGGCATTCTTGTATGTGTTATTAGGAACTGAAGATTTTAAAGATATGTCGCTTTGGACAAGACTTCAAAACTGAAAATCACAATTGAAAATTGTTAGGAAAATTCTGCTTTTAATTCAGTTGTGATTTTTATTCATATTTTTTGTTGCAGTGTGTTAGGATGTAAGGGTTACATAGTGTAAGTATAAATGAATAGTGACTGTAGAATTAAGACTGTCAAAAGTTGTTCTGTTTCAGTGGCTTTATGTAACATATAATTGCTGTCGATACACCATTCATACTTCAAGTTTCCAATGAAATTGAATTTGGTTACAGACAGAAATAAAGTGTATACCCCGTTTAATAAAGTTGGTAATATTTCATCTGAGGAAACTTAGGCCAAAAAGCGTGTTTAATTTTGAGGTGAAATGTATTTGTAGATTACCTACCATATTCAAGTTTCCCTTTTAGACTTATAATTCATGTTGTTTTACTTTCTAAAATCATTAAAATGTAAATGTTTATTCTCAAAACTTTAAAAAATACAGGGCTTGAAATCCAAATTAATTTACATTTCTGAACTTCTAGAGGCTAAGCCACTACTTATACCCATTGGAAGTTCTTTGTAACTTATTCTGAGGACACAGAATGTTAGAAATAACATTTTAAAATTGTAGTCTGCAAGCGTATGTGAATGTTTTAAGTTTGGGAAGAAACCTTAGAGGTCATCTAGTCTAACTCCCTATTGTTTTATGTTTGCGTTTCTTACAGAAGGAAGTATCTTACCCAAAGAATTGTCTTTGGAACTTGAATTTCACTTGGGCATCAGATCAAGAGATGAAACAAACCAGCTGGATTAGAAAGAACTGGCTCCTTGTAGCTGGATTAACTTTCATAGGTGTCCATCTTGGCACATATTTTATACAGGTAGCTGCAAAACAGTCTGCCAAATCTCAATTTGAAAATGAAGAAAAGAATATCAAAAAAATTAAGTAAAAGTATCTGTGGAAGTATTGATGTATGGTATTCAATCATCATGATCCGATGAACTTCAAAAGAATAAGCTGTTTAAAGTTGCATGGCCGGTGTGCCACATGTTCTGACAGATTGTTGATGAGTTAATTGTATAACTTTAAAATATCTGTGAAAATACATTGTCTGAAAAGTATGATTAAGAAAATAAAACGTATCTCTACTCCCTATATATAGCCTGAAGTAAGATGTCTCGTGTTAAAGCTAAAAAACCTTCATTATGTACCTGTGAACTACTGACAAAAGAGATTATTAGTAAATCTCTCTCTATACTAAGAGCAGTTGTAACCTCTTGCTATGGCCCTTCTGGTAGACTGAAGCAACTGCACAATGGTGTTGGAGGTTCTGTTTGTACAACATCATCATCATCATTGTTGTTCAGTAACCTTTCTGTCACCCATCCTATATTAAAGATTTTGACCACCTCTGTGCAAAATCATGTATCACGTTTTAGTGACTGTGGCTTATTCACAGCCATTCTCTGCTTTAACTTAGTTGAACATTTTCAGAGATTAAACTTGTCGACTGCTACTGTCATTAAAATAAGTAAGCATCTTTTGAGTCTCTGCACTGACTATCTCAACTCTGAGTCCTGTGGCTGCCGAATCTCTGTAGATTTTAGCAATATGAAGACTCTCTTATGTTTGGTACAAAGCATATTAACAAGCAAGCCTGCTTGCCTGCTCAACAAAAAAGAAACTGATCATATCAGTACTTTGATTCTGAAGGCATTTTTGCTTACAATTCCAGAAAAGGCTAAAGACCATGCTGTTTTGGGGAAAAGTATAATCGTGCCTTTAAAAGATGAAAGAGTTATGAATTCTGCTGTATTGCCTGGAATAGTCATTGAAATGCCAGAAGTTCAATTGATAAGGAAGTTTCCTATCAAAAAATTACCATCAGATGCCCTCAAGGTGGCACTCTTTTGTATGTCTATGTCTGGAGATATTTCTGAACCTGGAGAAGGAACACTAGTGATCAGTTACGGAGTTTCTCTTGAAAGTGCAGTCTTGGACCAGTTGCTTAACTTGGGAAATCGGCTCATTACTGATCATGTTGATATTGTTGTGTGCCAAAAAGTTATACATCCAGCTTTGAAGCAGTACTTCCATCAGCATCACATTATTACCATAGACAGAGTTGGAATATCTCTGATGGAGCCCCTGTGTGAAATGACAGGTAATATTGAGCCAGAATTTTTTTTTTTAATTTACGATTTTCCCATTTGGGGTATATCCACTGTTGGTATATCTTGCAATTGTCCATATGGTAGATAAGTACATAGTCTAGTCTATAGCAAAGGTTTTTTCACATCAGCTTCTCTCAGACACTAAGTGAATAGTAACTCAGAAGCAGTAAAGAGATAGAAAGCAAAATGTACCCTCTCTCTCCCCCCCTTCTCCTTCCTCCTACCCTCCACTATTTCACATACATACATATGTGTGTGTGTGTGTGTGCATGTGTATACACACTTTGTATCCCTAGGATTTAACATAGTTCCTAGCACATAGTAAGTACTTAATGCTTTTTGAATGGCATTTCAAGTTTTGTCCTAAACATAATATTGGAACTTTTAAAGCATTTGTTTGTACACATAGAGTGCTAGTTTGCCAAGTCCACATTGTCAGAGTTGGCCCATTGGGTGTATAGATCATTGAAAAAGCTAACATTCCCATAATAATTCATAATTTATTGCATGGTTTTATCAGCTTTGTTGGAACTAAGCTATGAAGTAGGACTCTTTTTTTTCCCCATAATTTCTCAAAACTCCCTTTTCATTTTAACACTTACACTTCATGGAATACCTAGGTGATGGTAACTTGAGCAGATGCCTAAAAGGTGGTCCTGGATGTCCATTGAGGAATTCATTATCTTGCTAAAGCCATTTCCGTCTCCACACTTAACTATTTCTGTTGAGAACATCAACATAACTTTAAGTGACCTGGGTTTCTATACTTAGTGTCATCATTAACTCTTCCTTCTCCTTTGCCACCCATATCTAGTCAGTTGCCAAGTCTTATTAATTCCAGATCCACAGCATCCCTTGTATCTCTCCAGTCATGTTGCCATCACTCTACTCCTTCATTGATTACCTCTTACTTAGACAGTTACACAAGTTTTCCAGATATATTGCCACATTCTTTGTTCCTCCTATTCATCAACCCAGCTGCCAAAATAATTCTAAAGCACAAGTGTAATCATGCCTTCACCCCTACTCAAGAACTTTTATGGCTCCCTATTGCCTACAAGATTAGATAAAACGAATTAGCCTGGTATTTAAAACCTTTCACAGCCTGGCTGCAGTCTGCCTTTATAGGCTTTAGTATTCCTCTCATGCATTTTTTAATTCTAGCTCTAGCCAGACTAGCCTACTGACTAGTCTGTATGCAAATTCAGCGTTGAATCTGCTGCCTCAGCCTTTTGAGAGTCTCTTCCCATTCCTTTAATACACCTTCCACTACCTTCACCTCTTCAGATTTCTCATTTCCTTCCAGGCTTTGGTCATTTGTCAATACCTATAATAAAGGCAATCAGTTGAATGTCCTAATGCTAGGAAGCAAATTTTACCTAAAAGGTACTGCTGAGATTTAGTGGATAAGAACCTATGACTATGTTATGGCTCTGGGTAGGTGTTCCTTAGTCTAAAAAAACTTAAAGAGATATGAAAGGGCAAGGGAATTAGTAGCATTGTATACTAAGAAGATATAATCATGAGGAAATCCATAGATGGGGGTGGGGGGAAGTAGGGGATGGTGGAGAACATATGGGTATAGATCAATGAAGAAACAGAAGCAATTTTTGTCATCAGAGTATTACAGACTACCTGGACAGAATGGAAATAAAGGTGCTCAAGAAACAAGTCATGATAAAATAGTTATGTGGGATTTCATTTATTCAGATCTATGCCAAATATAGAACTGCTAATAACTTTATTAGCCTTACTGATAATCTTATCTTTCAGAAGGTGGTGGAACCAACAAGAGGAAATTCCATTCTGAATCTGCTTCTAATTGTGGGAGTAGAGATACAGGAACCTTACAGGGAAGGTGAACACTCCCTCCTAGAATTTGAGATAGAAAGAGGAAAGTCAGACATAGTCTAACATATGCAAACTCGATTTTTTTTTCAAGAGCAGATTAAAATGGGTCAATTAGTTAATGAATATTCATGAAGTACTCACTGAGTACTAGGCAATGTGCTAAGTACTGGGGATAAAAACAAGGCAAAAGATAGTCCTCAAGAAGCTTACAACCTAATGGGGGAGACAACATGCCAACAAATATATTCAAAATGAGCTGTATATATAAGATTAATAGGAGTAGTTAAAAGAGGGAAGGCACTAGAATTAAAAGGGGTTGGGGAAGTCTTCCTATAGAAAATGGGATTTTAATTGGGACTTAAAGGAAACCAGTAGTCAAAAAGCAGGAAAGGGAAAGCATTCTAGGCATGGGGGACAGCCAGTAAAATGCCCAGACCCTAGAGATGGAATATCTTGTTCATGGGACATTCAGAGTCCAGAGTCAGTGGATTAAAAGAATACATTTCAAGGAATAAGGTATAAGAAAAATGGGAAGGTAGTAGGGGGCTAGATTATAAAGGGACTTTGAATGCTAAGCAGGGCATTTTATATTTGTTCCTGGAGACAATAGGAAGCCATTGGAGCTTAGTGAGTTGGGGCCAAAGGATGACATGATCAGATCTGTGTTTTAGGAAAATCACTTTAGGGGCAGCATGAAGGATGGATCGGAGGGGGGAAAGACATGAGGAAGACAGACCCACCAGCTATTTCAGTAATCGAGATGTGAAGTGATAAGGGCATGCGCTAGAGGGTCAGAGGAAAGAACAGGCATATTTGAGAGATGTTGCAAAGGTGAAACTGATATGTCTTGTAACATCTTGGATATGGGAGATGGGAAATAGTGAGAATCCATTATGACTCTTAGGTTGTGAGCCTGAAGGATGGTGTTGTCTTTTACAGTAATAGGGAAGGTAGGAGGAGGAAAGGGTTTAGGGAGAAAGATAATGCATTCCAGGGGCAGCTAGGTGGCACAGTGGATAGAGCTCCGGCCTTGGAGTCGGAGGACCTGAGTTCAAATGTGGCCTGAGACCAGACATTTGACACTTACTAGCTGTGTGACCCTTGCCTCACCAAAAAAAAAAAAAAGATGAGTTCCATTTTGGACATAATGAGTTTTAAGATGTCTACATCCAGTTTGAGATGTCTGAAAGGCAGTTGGAGATGTGAGATTGAAGGTCAGCAGAGATATTGAGATAGGAAAGGTAAATTTGAGAATCATCAGCACAGAGATGGCAGTTAAATCCATGACAGTTGACGAGATCACCTAGTGAAATAATATGGAGGGAAAAGAGGGCCCAAGACAGAACCCTAAGGACATCTATGGTTAGAGTGCATGATCTAGAGGATCAGAGGATGCAGAGGAAGCCTAGGTAGGATACCGAGGCCCAATATTGTGAAGGAATAGCCACTCCAATAGGGATGAATACACTTGCAAGAAGGAAATTGAGATATAAAGGTAAACTGAGGCAGCATGGTATCAATTGGTCCAGCAAGGCCACTGGACTTGGAATTAAAAGGACTTGGATTCAGATCCTTCCCCAGACACTTAATAGTTGTGTGTCGCTGTATAACTCACTTGACTGCTTTATACTTCTATTTTTTCATCTGAAAAATGGCTTGGTAGAATGTACTAGATGATCTCGAAGCACTCTTTTGTCTCTGAGTCTATGTATGGTGTTATGAAACAGTTATAAGAAGGAAAAATGAGTTGTCTGAAGAGACTGATATGTATGCATCAGAAACACCAAGCAAGTCAAATTTTCAGGAGAGAATCATATAAGGAATGCTAAGGCTCAGAATGAGCTGAAGCTAGCAAGACAAACCAAAGACAAGTTTTGTTTTGTTTGAAGTTGTGTTGGGATAAGAAAATCAAGGAAGGGCTAGAATGATGACTCCAGAGAAGGCAAGTTGTTCACTTCTTACTTGATTTCTGTTTACTATGCCAAGGAGAACTACCCTTGTTCTGAAAGGGAGAACAGAAATAACTGAAAATGGGTACCCAAGATAAGTAAGAATATAGTGAGAGAGCACTTAGCTGTCCTTGATGAATTCCAATCACTTGGCCCAGGTTAATTTGAATACTGAAAGAACTGGTAGGTATAATTGCTGAGCCACTATTAATGATAGTTGAAAGAACATGGAAAATGGGAGAGGCACTATAATACTAGAAAAGAGAATATATCCTGAGTTTCAATAAAGAGTTCACAGTCATTAGTTGCTGGGTCAGTGTGTTTTCTTGACTTTGATTTCTGGGGAAATTTTGAATAGGTCAACAAAGAAGATAGTTAATGATCCTCTGAAAAGAAATCCAAAGATTTAGCATGGCTTCATTGAAAACAGGTCAGACTTAACAGTTTCTTTTGTGGCATGGCTACTAAACTGGTAGATCTGAAAATGCTATAGTCATAGTTAACTATAGACATCACCTAGCACTATGCCTGGCACATAGTGGTAAATTAATAAATGCCTATTTAATTGATTTATCTAGATTTTAACAAAGTAATATAGTATCTCATACTAATATTGTTGAAAAGATAGAAGAATGGAAGTTACAGAGTATGACAGCTAGATGGTTGATTGGCCAGTTGAATGGCCAGATGCAGTACTCTTTAATGACTTAAAGATGGTAAGAGAATGAATTCAGTTTTGGAAATGTTGAATTAAAATTATTCATGGAACATCCAGTTTAAAATATCAAATAGGCAATTGGAGATGCATGACTGGAGTTCAGAAGAGAAAGGGGGCAGCTAGGTGGCGCAGTGGATAGAGCACCAGCCCTGGATTCAAGAGGACCTGAGTTCAAATCCGGCCTTAGACACAACACTGAAGTAACTGTGTAACCCTGGGCAAGTCACTTAACCCCATTGCCTAGGCAAAAAAAAAAAAGGAGAGAGAGAAATTAGGGCTAGATTAAAAAAAATTGGAATCATCTGCATAGAGATGATAGATCCATAGGAGCTGATGAGATTGCCAAGCAAGATAGTATAGAGGAGGGCCCTGGATAGAGCCTTGGGGGCCCCCAGGTTTAGGAGGTACAATCTATATGAAGATTTAGCAAAGGACATTGAGAAGGAGAAGTCAGACAATTAGGAGGGAGTAG